AGATGATAGGAAGGATATCTGCTTTTCAACTGGGTTGTGGTTAGAAGAGGAGGTGTCTAAATGTTTAACTCATTCATTGTTTATGAGATAATCATATAAAAAGTTAGAGATACACTGAACAATACCATAAATGATCATGATTTTAACACACCAGATGGATTACATCACATAAATTATGTCTAAATTTGGAAAGATGAGGTTGCAGATATGGTGCTATATTGATAGCTATATATGTTTGATCATAAACAGCCTCCAAGTGATTCTATAGAATCACTTGGAGAGGAGCAGAGGAGCCTCTTCACTGCAGTCAGAAAAAAAGAAAGGGTGTAGTAAGAACCGAGAGAGGGAAGGAGAAAGGGGGGAAAAAGGTAACAGAGGAAAGATGGAAGGACTTAACATAACGAAGGTGTGTGCAGAGTGCTTCATGTGTACTAGTTCCTTCAGTTCTTACAACTCCGTTATGAGGTAGGATCTCATTTCTATTTTTGCAGAAAAGAAAACTAAGGGTCAGAGAGATTAAGTAACTTGTCCAAGTCATATAGTTAACAAGTAGTTGGCCTAGATTTAAAGACAGGTTGCACAAAGCTTTCTCGCTGAGACCATTAACAGACCTGTAGCATATATAACTTAGAACAAAGAGGTGGTTTGATCATAGGAACAGATTCTGGGTAGTCTCTGCTCTTGGCACCCTCTGGCACTGGCCTTTCTTCTCTGAAACATAGCAGAAATCCATATTGTTTGCAGGAAAATCTAATAATTGCCTGGAAACATAGCGATGTAGGAACAGAAAACCAAAACTGTTTAATTCCAAATTTTAAAAGCTATAGGATATCAACAGCTAAAGCATTTTAAACAGAAGACAGATTTAATCTCTAGTACAGAAAAGCACAAATATATACAAATTCCAAAAGCAGTCACAAATGACTGACGAGCAATCAGCCACATTTCCAAGAGTTCATATTCTTCTGAAAATTTAAAAAAAAAATTGTCTTACTAATTTCACCCTTTGGATCTTCTAGCAAGGCTATTATAGAAATTTCTTCTGGAGTAAAAACTGCCCTCCAAGAGAAAAGGCTTTAAATGGAATCTGATGATCCCTTTGTCCTGACAGAATTCACCATTCCCTCATTCAGACAAGTTAGGAAAAATCCTTTTACACATCAGTGATAGGCCCGGTATTGTGCTGATTGGTTTGGTTCGGTTCGGTTTGGTTTTAGGATTAGTGAAGGTAAAGCAAGTATGATAGAAGAGTTTGGCGTGTATAAATGGGCCCAGGATTCTTAGGATGATGTTTACCCCACATCAGTTTCAAGAGCGTTGAGGTATTTAACCCATGACTAACAAAATCTAGTGACCTTCCTTTTTTAAAAAGTCCAGTATCACTTGGTATCTCAGTTCTTTCTTCACATAAAACTACATACGCGCAGCAGACGCGTGCTGGGCCCATATAAAATGACATGCTTCAGTTTTGTTCACCTGTGGCTATTTCAGATTTCCTGGTCCTCCTTAACTTAGTACCATGATGCAGTTTGGTAGTACAAAGGAAAATTCCAAAGCCAGAAGGACTTGGGATAATTTTACTGATTTTTGAAACATCACCCCCAAAACATACAGCTTTAGGGTAAAATCTGGTAAGGTACAGACCAAGCACTCACTATCCTCTCAAAACTACTTTGGGTGGCAGTAAAACAATGTACTTACCCAGCAAGTTCTGCTTTACCTGTGCCAGGTAACTTCCATTCATATGTGCGCTTCATAAAGTCACCCCAGGCTTCTGAGCTGAATGCATGTGGTAATCCATTACTGTGAAATCAGTGGCACTCCAACCTGGTGGGACAGTTTCACCGGTGGAGCATCAGAATATGTTTGCCTATTTTTCGTAGTTCTCCTGGGAAGAACCGTGTTTGCTATGGCACTTTGAAATAGAAAGAGTTTGAGTTAATAAAATCAAATTGCAATTCAACAAGACTTTTTCACGATTGTCCCCATTCCACTAACATCATTTTTACAACTCCAAGCAACATAAAGTTCACTTGTGAGATTAGATTGATCAGTTAATTCAAAATTGCAACCTGTGTCTGTTAAGCATTTATAAAAGGTAGTTATCTATTTGAATATATTGATATTAGATTTGATTTTATATAAATGTTATTAGATTTTATTGCCTAGGGAAATTTTTTTCATGATTTGTTCACAATCATGCCTGCAGTTTTGCAAAAGCTTACCAAAGATATCTATATAATGTGCCACATAGGAATATTTTGCTCAAAATAACCCACATAGATAAAAGATTATATCACCCATGATGATATAACCATCTTAGTTGGTGTGAATATTTCCTATGATGTTCATGCAGTGATGAAATTGGCCAAAGACATATATCTCAGGACATATCCCTGTTATTAAATGACATTGGAATGTATATCTAGTGGAAACATTGCACTTTAGTAGTGAAAACTTTGTATTGTGTCCTGTGATACCATGTGGTATAGCAATGTCTTTAAATAAGGATTTTTTTTTTCTTTTTTCCAGTACTGGGGATGAAACCCAAGGCCTTTCACATACTCAGCAAGTGCTACACTATGGAGCTACAATCCTAGAGAACTTTTTAAAATTCTGCAAATTTTTCTAAACTCAGATTTTTATACGTTTCAATAAGACTTTCATCTCAGTACATGTACAAGTAGATGTTGTTTAAAAAGTAGAATAGCCTGGACTCTTTGTCCCAGAACTTCCTTCCACTGCATGCATTCGTGTTGTCCTGTTTGAGTCATGACTGTGAATTACTTCCATGGCTCTTGACAGTAGCCAGGATGACCTGAGCTTGCTTTCTGTCCTTAATAATAATTATGTTTCATATAATTATTATTGTTGCCCTTTCTCCTCAGTAGAACAGTGACTGGGTCAGCCCCCAAGTTACCAGCCCCTTCTTCCTCTGATTCACACGTTTTTTCTACGCAGATTGGATCTGAGGCCCCTCCCCTCCAGCGACAGGCTGCAGCTTCACAGAGTGGGAGAGGAGCTGATTCTGAGCCAGCTCACCATGTCTTCTCCTTCTCCTGGTTGAACTCCCTGAACGAATGATGTTCATTCCAACTGCTGCCCCTCTGCCTGCCTGGCTGTGATGTGCACAGGTGGAATTAACAAACACAGTAAAGATGATGAATGGGACCTCTGGACAAGATTTCTGAAAGAAGAAAAAGAGACTTTAATTCCAGATGACTTACCTAACATTGAAGAAGAGAATTCTTTCAGAAAATAATTACAAAAAGCAGTGGAATAAAAGACCCTGGATGTTATGGAAATCTTTTATTGTGTGGGAAACACTATGAAGGGTGTGCAGGTGTGGTATGTGTGTGTGTCAGTTAAAAGTGGCAAGTGTTGAACAAAGTAGACCCTATACTCTCGTGTTGAATAGGCACTGACTTTTTGTTATGTTAGTAGCACTTATTTCCTTTCCTCTTTAGCAGTGCAGGTAGCCGGTGAAATTCAATGTCAATTCAAAAGTGACTGGTTTGTCAATATATACGGATGAAAGGTAAATCATTGACCAAAGCTATGAAAATGATTTGTAAAATTTTCCTCTTTTCTATAAGATGTCACTGGATATATCCAGAAATGTTCTTTGAATTTAATGGCATTTTTAAAGTCCAGAAGGCTGAAAGCTTAGGGCATCTCTTGTGATATTTTTCTAATCTTAGTTTTAGATGTTCACATATCAAGTCCTTTAACTGAAAAATACCTTCCAGCAGAAACTGTTTACTTTCTCATGTACCCACTGTGGCACCAATCTGGCAAACTGTAGAACAAATAAATCACATCACTTATTATATATATTTAAATCATGCTTTATTTGTCCCACCATAATGCCTCCTTCAGAACATATGTGTGACCTTACTCTGTGTAAACTCTTAAATAAATGCTGTTTTTAAAAATTTAGTCTTATAATGACTTATTCAGTGTTTCACATTCTCTTACTAATCCATTAGTCAAGTGTACTTCAAGGGGCTGGGGATTTAGCTCAGCGGCAAAAGCGCCTGCCTGGCAAGCGCAAGGTCATGAGTTCGGTTCCCAGTACCGGAGAAAAACCAAAAAAAAAAAAAAAAAAAAAAAAAAGTGTACTTCAAGGTCCTCAAGGGAAGATGCATCTTCATACATATAAATTAATTTTGGAGTATTAATCATTTGATTGAAATTTCAAGCTATAACTAAACTAACAAACCAAATACATTGTAAAACTAGCTAGATGTACTGTTCCATTTTAGAAGTGAATAAAGACAGTTCACGTTCCTAAGAATCAAACTGATTAGGGTTGGCATAGATAGACATGTGGAGAGTATTTGTGTAGTTATTAAAGTCAAAATGTCCTTTATAAGAACAATTCTCCTAAGTACTATTTTATAGCAACTAAATTTAGTTGTTTTAAATGAAGATGCTATTAAGTTTCTCTATTAAAAGTAGTCACTGGAAAATACCTTAGAAAAAATACCTCGTAGTGCCAAAGTAGCGGCTTGATAAAGTGAGCCTTTGTCATAGAAAAACACTGCAGCGTCTTGGTTATAAACGTGGTTTGGAAGAACGCCCGCCTCAACTCTTTTCCTTTCATTCTTCTCTCTTCTCAGCTATTTCCCATCTCATAATTAATCAAATTAAATGTTATTTCCATCATGATTTGATCTTCATTTGTAAAAATTACCAAGTTTTAGCGTTGGAAGCAACTTCCTAAATTATTTAATTTAGACTCAAAAAATAACCTGAGGTACACAGAGGAGCCCAAGAAGACTGCAGCTTCTGTGTGAGTCATTAATAATGGTAGAAAGTCAAGTGCAGGCAGCTGAGGGCTGTGTGGGAATGCTGTTTGTTTGGGGCTCTGGAGGCAGCTTGGAGGAACCTAGGAGCTATGACCACCGGAAGTGAAAAATAAAAGTACAGTAACATTTGCAGCTTTTATTAAAAATATAAATAAATATTCAACGTTCTCTTACACAATCAAATTGACCAAGGATTGGAAAGATGTTTTATTACTGAAACGTTTACAACAAAAAAAGTTGACTCAAACAGTTTACACACTTAGTCCTCCGCACTACTCAAGAGAATGGCATTCCCTTTGGCTCTGACCACCAGGAAAACACTTGGGCGACTTCCATCTGCTTCAGAATGTTTCCTCCTGAGCCTACTGTTCTTTTTAAAACACGGCTATAAAGACACCTGGACACGGAAGCTGGGAGTGAACAGTATAAATGACACTGCGTTGGTAGGGCACGTGTATACACTTCGCATGCTAATTAAGGGGTATAGAATCTCTCCCTGTACATTCTCTATGTTTCAAGCTATATAAAAATAAACAAATGATATCGGAGCAGCGCTATGGTACAGAATGCTGTATTTTTAAATTTTTTTACTTTTTATTTTTTGTGCTAAACGTGGGATCCTTTCCTCCAAACGCACCATTTCATTTCCCAATAATCTCCATCAGTTTCCGGTTGTTATGGGCTTGCTGCGCTAACTGCTCGGCCCTGGCCATTTCCAAGACTTCTCGGAGAAGGTGGAAGGTGAGATCCAGGGAGATGGGGGGCTCCTCGGACCGTCGCCCCCTCTCCACTGCCTCCTGGTGGCCACCGAGAGCGCGCCCGCCGCCGCGCTTCTCGGCATCCGCGGGGCTGTCGAGCGGGCGCCGAGGCAGCTGTAGCTGCTGCAACGCGCGGAAAAAGTTGGCGGCTGCCTGGTCCGGCGAGGGGCGGCTGCCTGCGGCGAGGGGCGAAGAGCCGGGTGAGAGGCGAGCAGCGGGGCTCCTGCTGAGGCTCCCCAGGCGGAGGAAGTACTCCTCTCCCATGCGGAGCAGAACCGGACGAGACTGCGGCGGCTGGAGCTGCCCGGGCTGAGGCGGCGGCTGGAAGAAATCCAGGGGCTGGGGGGACTGCGGGACTTGTCGGGCGCCCGGGACGGGCCCCCGGCTGAGGAGGGCCCTGCATGGCGGGCAGGGCAGGAGGGCGAGCAGCAGGACGCCCGCGGACACGAGCAGCGGCAAGCGCATGTTAGGGCGCTCACTGAGGCGGAGAGGGGCGAAGGGCAGAGGAGAGCAGGGAAGAGAGAAAGAAAGAGTTGGTCAGAGTTTAGCTGAAAAGGAAGGTGCAGCTGGGGGTCTTCCAGCCCCACACCCCAAAGGCTTGCCCCCTCCCGCCCCCAGGAGGCAAGCGGCCGCTGTCCGCGGTGCTGAAGCTACGGTCTGGGACTTGTGGGCCTCAGGAAATGGGACACCTGCTAGGCTAGGCATCAAAGCTCATCCCTCGCCACGCAAGAGCGACTCTTCTTCCGAGATTCTGAATGCACAGCCCCTGAGCGCTCTGCCTAACAATCCCCGAAGCCTATTTCCAAAAGCAGATTCCCCTGAGCCCAGAGAAGAAGCACAAATTTAAGATCTCGGCTTTGCTCAGTCCCCTTCCGGAATTTCAGCATATTCTTCCAAATTGAGACCTAGTTCCACCTTCTCTCTCCATTCCTGTCCTTGATGCCTTTAGTGTCAGGATCGATTTGGGTCAGAGTGAAGTGGGGGCTCCTTTACCCAGACAGTGAGGAATAACTGGCAGCTCGGGAAATGATGAGCAGCCGTCTAAGTTTGCTTTTTCTAGTATCAGAATCTTAAGGCTCAGTCAGCAACAACAGCGACAACCACAACACACACACACACACACACACACACACACACACACACACACACACACACACACACACGGCAGCTGGCTCTGCCGCGCATACCGCAGCAGCTCAGGCAGCGTAAAGTTGGTGGCGCGTTTCCGTCTAGGCGCTCCCTACCTTCCCAGGCGCTTCGCAGGTGAGCCGGGCGCAGTCGCCTCTGCAGAGGGACGGCTCCGGGGCTTTCTCTAAAGAAGGTTTTCTTCCCTTTTGTTTCTGTTCCCACTCTCTCTTTGTCTCTGTCTTTGTCTTTTCCTCTTTCTCTTCGGTCTCTTAACGTACTTGGGCTCCGAGTTTCTCACACCAGAGCCTGGTGTGGGATTTTATAGTGTCGACCCTCTTCAGAAAGCACGCAGCATTTGCCTAATAAGCTGACGCTCTCTTGACAGCTCGATTGCGTGCTGCCTCTGCTCCTGCATAAATCATAGGGCCCTGCCAAGGAGCGAGGGACAGAGTTTTGCTATTTCAACACTGAATCTCACATCCAATTATATCAACAGATATTTATCGCCTCCTTGGTGACGTCAACGAGTCCTAAAATGGAAGGGCTTCTTATGACTTGTCCATTGACAAAAATTCTTGAATGAAATTTCCCAAGTGTAGAAAACAGACTGACCTCTTACTATGGAAGGCCAAATTGAAAGGGTTGGGGGGAAAAGACAGCAAATGGGAAGGGAGATGAAAGGGAAGCGGGAAGGAAGGGAGGTCTACCATGCTGTCCTGCAAGAAAAGCAACTAATAGGTAGAAGGGTTTCAGCAGGAGCCCCCAGCCACACCCCTTCCTATCTTCTCTGGCCAGTTTTCTCAGGCAATATCTGGGTATCTGAAAATACTCCTTTCCCATGGACAAAGAGTCCCACCATCTTTCTGCCTGGAAAAGAATAAAGAACCAGGAAATGTGAGTGCAGAGACATCCTGGGTTAGTATTCTCTGCTTTTTCCTCCCATGAGCAGAGAAAAGAGCTATGAGTCTGCAGACACAAGATCAGTGTCTTCAAATACGGTTCAAGTCTTTTAAATGATGACAAGGGCTACTCCAGTGGTGAAGGGCAGGAGCAAGGGTCAGTCAATGTCACAGCAGAGATCTTAGGTTCCCATAGAGTCTCACTACTGCTCCTCTTGTGTCTTCCAGCTCTCAAATCTAAAATTAGTTGTGGATGCTTTTTGTCTATTCAATCCAAACCCAATAACAATTGAGCTAAAAAATATCAGACATCGATTTTCATTGCTGAATACTGCCTCTGTAAAAAGGCAATTTCTTTTATTTCACCATTAAACTATTAATGTTCACGATGGCATACCTATCAGGGGTACCTTGTTGTTCTTTTTCATTTCTTTTTCCAAACTCAAATGTACTCTATGTTAGCCTCATAAATAAATTCTCTCTGATATTATTACAGAATGGAATGCTAAGCCTATAGAGCCACACTCAAATTTTGAGTTAAGCTGACACTATCATATAAGTGGGAGGCAGTTACCTTTAAATCTGCAATTGAAAATGCAATTGCAAACTCTAGTGTCTGTGATTCAATTCAGCTTCCAGATAACCACAGCTGTTTATCAGAAATTTCCTGTTCCTCTTTGCTGGTTACTTCTACTGCTTCCTTTGTAGCTAATATAATAACATATATTTAAGCTCTGATTCTGGGTCTATGCTAATCCACAACTGCTCATTGAAACAAAAGGTAGACAAGGAAAGCAATCTGACAGTTTCTTGAGAAGTAAGCTCACAGTCGGATCACTGCACGGTGGAATGTACTTTTGACTCAGAGAGAACAAAGAAATACAGCTACTGGGAAAGATGCACACTGTTAAAAGAAGATCATTACGGAAAATAGTTGAGTTTCTACAGAAAAGTTGAGTTTGATATTGGTAGAGAGGCAAAGAGAATCTTAGTTTTTGTTTCTGTGAGTTTTTAAAGTTGAAATGAATTGCAACATTTTTGCTACTTTCTTTATGACCTCTTTTTTTGTCTCCATTAGCAGATTCAAACTTGGATGCTAATCTAGGGGTGAAAAGTAGGTTTGGAAGGGGAAGTTGCAGGTAAATGGATACAGATGTGCACCTGGGGAAAGGATTTTAATTGGAAGTTTAGCTGGGGAAGTCTAGGAGGTTCCTCCAGAGACAATGCAGCAAGTTTTGGGCTCTCACTAATCTCACATCCCTTCAGATCTTTCTATCATTGGGCTGTTGGGGAATGATGTTTTAGCATAGCTGCCTCATCACAGATGAGTTCTTACTACAGGGTTTACCTGGAGAATAAATTGGGGAGCATCACAATTTATTCAAATGTTAGATCTCATCAAATTAGACTATTCACATTACAAATGCCTTTAAAAAAATAACATTCAGTTTGGATGAGAACCAGATTTTAAGTGACTTACCTATAGTAACCTAGCCAGTTAGTCATAAAGTCAGAATCAGTAGCCAGTTCTTTGGACTACCAGCACATCTCATTTGCATATAAAAGCACCCCTTGGAGTGTATTTTTAGCAGAGGCACATGAACAGGTTGAAATGAAAATATGATTTTAGAGTAAGGAAGATATTTACACACCAACCCTTGGAGGACCTTTCTCAGACTTACCTTATATTGGTAAACTTGCTAAAGTATGACAGTGCAGAGATTCTCTGTTTATGCTGATGCCCTGGCATTTGATTTTAAATCTCTGAGTGTACAAACTGCAATTTACTTTTCTGCTGAATCATATAATTATACTATGAAGTGCTTGAGTGAGTTGTCAACTTAAAAAACATTAATTTGGTCTTTTCCATCTTAGACAACTTCTGAAAAAAATTGATCCTTTGATTAAGTATAGAAGATGAGAGAGGTTCTCAAAATAAATATTGATATGTGTGACTGCAGAAATAACATAATGTGGAAAATTATGCACAATAAAGTAAATTTCCAAGTTCATAAAAATTACCACTTATATAGTCCATCTTACATGTAGGAATACCTTCTTAAAAGGAATCCTGAACATAATCTAGGAACCTGAGAAATAGTCCCTCAACAGATTATTTTTAATTAATCAGTTAATGTAAATGCAAACAATTTAACCTCCCAGGCTGCAAGATAAGAACATTAGCACGCTTTCAGCTTTTAACATGTCCTCCTGCACCTCCATCTCCCTGTTTCTCATCTATACCTCTACTTCCAGATTATCAGTATTCATTATTTATAAGCAGAATTAAGTCTTCTGTACTTTGGCCACCATCTTAACTACTTTTCTCTTGTTGCTGAGACAAAATACCCGACACCCTAAACTAAGGAAGGAAAGGTTTATTTAGCTCACAGTTTGTGGAGGTTTCAGTTTGTAATCAGCTGGCTCCAAGGCAGGGTTGACACAGTGAGGGGCAACAGCTCAAGGAAGCAGAAGACAGCAAAAGCAACAAGAGTGAAAGGGGGACAGCAAGGCTCTTTTGCTCCCTTATGTTATATCCCAGCTACCCACCCATACCATCTCCCTGCCATCTTGTACCACACGCTCCGGAAGTTTTCAAAGTGAGGACTCTGGTCCCCTGCTGAGTTACTTAGTTAAGCTTCTAAACTTCTCAATTCTTAAGTTGACACTGTATCAACCATCACAATCCACTCCTTGTCAACTTGGCAGTAGACACATTTCTTTAAACTGGTTTCCAGATACAAAGACATACGTATTCTTATCATTTCACAACTCAGACATGTTAGTGCAGGCTTAACAATCCTTAAGAACAAATATTAAGCCTATCAGCATTATATTACATTCAATGCATAACATTCTGCCCCTAGCTCCCTAAAGATTCATGTACATCCCTTTATGCAAAAGGCATTTAGTCCATCTTCAAGAATTGCCAAAGTCCAAACAGTTTCAGCATTGCTGAAAAGTCCATGTCAGAAGTCTACTCTGAGATGTAAGGCAAACTGTTAGCTGCAAGCCCCTATACAAATGAAAAGTTAAACACTTCCAAAATTCAATGGTAAAAGGTAAATATTTTCATTTCAAAAGTTATAAACAAGGGGATATACCAAGGATTGGGACCAAAGCAATTACAAAATCCATCAGGGCAAACTTAAGTGCTATTGTTCCATGTCCAGCATCTGAAGCAATCTGTGGCAAATTGTGGGCTCCAAAGGGCTTGTGTGGTTCCATCCCTATGGCACTTGTGGTTGTAGTTCCCACAGCTTCTCTCTTAGGCCTACTTTGCTCCCTCCTTGCAGCTTTCCTTAGATGATGCACATTCGTGGATTTTTCAAACTTCTGGAATTTCTACCGCACCTTTGGCTTCACCCTCACAGCTTCACATATTGCCCTCTCAGGGGCACACTGTCTGGCCTCCCAAGCCTTCTGAAATTAGGGTGGAGGCCTTCTTAACCCCACAACTCTTGCATTTTCATGCACCTAAAACCAACACCATTTGGATGATGCCAAAGTCTGCTGTCACCTGGAGCAGTAGCCAGGCATCCCTCTCTCTTGGCTGTAGAAGTCAAGCACCTGGATTGCTGGGCACTCTGAATCTGATTCTAAAATACAAATTTTTTATTTTGCCACCATTCGGGAGCATGGCGCTCTGTGATTTTCTCCTCAAAGCAAAGTCTCTCACTTTTGCAGTTTTGAGGCTGCAAAAGGTAGAGACTTGCAGCTTCCTGTGATGCCCTCAGGCCAGCTTTTCTTTTTTTTTTTTTTTGCTCTGTTTTGGTTTTTTTTCCCCAGTATTTTCCCAGCCTTTTCCCCAGTTCAGGAACAGAACTCACAACCCTGAGCTTGCCAGGCAGGCACTGTGCCACTGAGCTAAATCCCCAGCCCCGGGCCATCTCTTCTATTCTCCTGTTCCATCTCAGCAATTGAGATCTCCTCAGCTTTATCTTTGTAGTCGACAGCTTTACTAGACCTTCTTATCTGGCCAAACTCACATTTTAAATCATCCTGCTGGGCTCTTTGCTCTTGATTCTTAATATAGATCTAGCTAAAAGACCCCAACAATAGCCATATCACTGCTTCAATATTTGACTGCCTTGAAATTTCTTCTGCCAGATTAGTCACTGTCCTTAATCTTAGTCTCAGGCAAAGTCTCTGGACAAGAGCAAAATGCAGACAAACTTTCTGCAAAGTCATAACACACATCATCTGGAGTCCAGTACCCAGTGTAGCTCTTCTTCCCAGCAGAAGCTTCCTGAGCCTGGTCTTTATTGGCAGCATTTCTGTCAGCCTCTGCTCTTCTGAGCTCTGAGTAGAATCTCCCATACAGAACAGCCTAAGACTTTCCAGCTCTCCTCCTTCAGGCAACTTCTCTAAATCTTTCCAAAATCTTTCCATAAGCCGTTCCAAAAGGCTCTCAAACCACCTGGTCAAGTAGAATCACCGCAAAGACCCCACTTCTCTGGTACAAAATTCTGTCTTACTTCTCTCTTGTTGCTGA